TTATTTTATTGTCTTTCGATAATGAGAAGTAATAAAATGATATGACCTTATCTTGCTTAGCAAATTTCTGTGTTCACTCTATTTCACTATCCAGAAACTGCCATTGTGAAGATTGAAATCAATGGGTTTTTTATCAGTAAACTTTGTTTCTCTTAAAACTAGTTGAAATATCCAGAATAATTGACCCGAAAATTTTAGTTTGTTGTTAAATATTATCTTATTACACTATGAAATCAATAAAGTTAAATGTATATTTAAATCAAAACTTGTAATAGCTAACGCTGTGCTTAAAATTAGTCAATAGGATTAAGAAAAGATAACATGGATTTTGCAATAGAATGTTATCTCCATTGAGTTCAGTGTTCAGATAACTAAAGTTTGTTACTTTATAAAGTAGCTTTCAGTGTACATCATCTGGATATATCACCTAAATCTATGAATCATCGTCATTTACTACTTTTTTTATGTCTGTCATTGTAATATTTCTGAAGTGAAAACAAAATGTTTTGCTGAACGATAATCTGATTATTCTAAAAAGTTTTACTCACAAAAAAATAAATATAAATCTTTTATATTGGTTCACACAGTATATTTTGTTTCAAATAATTTTTACTTTCAGTTCTGTGAGAAAATATTGACCATTTAATATATTAGAAACAACTGTATGTATATTGTCCATGAGGAGTTTGTTTAACGATGTGCATCTTCCAATTTAATATAACAATTTCACGTATGAATCACAGTGTTTAATTTAATCAGGGTTATCTACAATAATTATTGTTAATTATAGATCACATTCGTTGTGATTCCCAAAATTCAGCTTGTTTAGATACGTGAATAATAAAGTGGATACATTTGAGGGTAAAATCCCAAGAATTTCTCGATAAACTATTTGACAGTAAATACAATCAATCTACTATGAAACAGTCTTAGACGGTTGTGATACCTTACATTCTCTGTTCGCGTATTTCGTTTCATATAGAACTTAAATGTCAAACAAAATCTCAACCAAATAACTATTATTTCTGTGATCCACATTCCGATATAGATTCCGCGAATTTGGGAAGCCATTAATCTGGTAAATGCACAATGATGACTGTGACAGAATATTGTGTGACTTGAAATTTCTCGCGTTTTACCCAGAATAGAAAAACAAGTCGTTTCAACTCTAGCGAGAGTGAACAAAAATTTTGCTAAGACTGCTTTATTCTGACATATTCAACAAATTCAGTAAACCAATATCAAGTTTTTTGAGTCAACATTCACTACCTTTTTAATCAAAAATAAGACTGACCACTACATTGACAGCACTATTAAACGGCAAAACACATATGAGCTAAAAAGCTAAAGCTAAAAGGAAATTTTCTTGTTATTTAGTTTTTTAAAGGGTGAATATTTATAACTGATATTCTAAGTAAAAGTAACGTTATAGAACAGCAAAGTAAACAAAGTAATAAATTCGCTTTTTCGAATTCCTTATAAAAAATGTTTAAAAAGTGAGAATTTTATAATTTTAATAAAATAATTCAAATAAATATGAATGTCATTTTATGGAACCCGGTAAATAATCTTGCCACATTCTTTATCTCGTTGTTGGGTCGTAAATACATTTCTTGCAACAGGATAAACGTTTGACTATGCACGTCATACCATAAGTAGATCCGTTCACATAACCAACTTAATTCATACCCATTAAGTATTCATCCTTGAATGCAGAAATTCAATAACTTTCAAAGATATTTTTCATAAAATAGTAAATGCGATATTCAGTGGAATTGTGCTGTTTTTTATTACATAGAATTCGAATATGTCTGGTGACCGTATCACAGTGGGAGACATTCTCAAATAGATACTATTTCTTTTTTAGTCAAGGAATTGGACTTTAATGTAAAATGCCGAATAAAATTTTCAAAATCACGTAGTTTGTTGGATTACAAGCTTGGTAAGATGAGTCAATGATAATAATTGTAAGCGGTTTGTAGAGAAACTCTACATATCATTTATATAGACAAAAGTTTTGCCTCCTTGATTTTTTTTGTGATAATCAACAACATAAATCATCAAAACTTAACAAATAGAAATTTACACAGAATTTACACTTCATAAAATTATATGGTAAAAAACCTTAAGTTCGTCTAATAGCGATAGTGAGTATATCTATAATAATTGCGATATATCAATGTGCACTGGGCTGTGAGAAAATTGTGCATAGCCGGTGGTAGACGATCGTAATAAAACAAAAATGACTCAGTCAATATTATGACACCCATAAAAATCCTAAATATTAATACTGAATAATTTTAATAAATAACTATGTGTTGCTTCTAAATTTATAAATATTGAAAAGATTTTAAAATGTGAGAATTTATGATTCAAAATAGACAGTTTTAAATATAATAATCCCACGTTTAATTCAAATTAGGACTGACAGACCAAACCGTAAAAGTGATCACCTAAGTTAGTTGTGAACCATGGAGCAGTAAATAAAGGGATTAAAAACGAGTAAATGTACAAGTACGGTGTATCTGTGTGTGATAATCAGTGCATTAGTTGTAGTACCACCATAAGAACAATATTACAACTTAAATAAAGTATTTTACATTCAATAAGGCGCGAAAAGACTTAAGATGTCCAGACCGAATAAGTGTGAAAGATAGTAACACTAAATATATAGCTACAAATTATTGAATTTCAATCATATTTATAAACAGCAAGGTTTTGTTGCAAAGTAAACTGATGATAAAAAATAATGAAGTATTATTCGAAAAAGTGATGTGATATTAATTTAGTGTAGAAATTTTACTAAACAGTCAAGAGATATAATAAAATTCTGACATATCACTAGACGTTATTTTCTATCTAATCACATATATCTTCACTCTAGTGTCTTGGCAATATTCATATGATGTTTATCAGTATATTTGTTTCATATTTTGATAGTCGACGATTTAATTGAATTTCTGTGCTAACCAAACACCACACTATCATCCCATCATAGTTGAATATCAGCTCATTTTCACCCTATGAATCTATAAATTAAAATACTGGGTGCGCACAAAAATTTATGAATTGTCTGAATATGATTAATTTTGTGTAACTTTCAGTCCCAGTTTCTATCATACAGATTTAGTTCCTAATTACTGGATATGTAGTCATATGACATATCAAGCTATGAAAGTTTCGATTTGTTGGTCATACAAGGAAGTGGCTGTTTGGAACATTTTGTTGTTCTCCATAAGTCATAGATGTAAAAAAGTATTCTTACCAAACTGAGCTACAATGTGTGTTAACACGAGACTTGATGAACTCGATTCACAGCTAAGATCCAACATCACTAACTTGTGCGAACAGGGCTCGCCGAGCATTTTCTCTTTTTTTCTTGTTTTATCTTATCGATGTATCATCCACACAGGGTATATATGATAAGTTTAGCCATCAACGTTTTATGTAAAAATACTCAATATGTCAGATCGATAACGTGATTTTATGCGGATGATATTAGTACTTAAAAATTTCTAAATGACTAATAGAGAGACAATTTGACTGACAAATAGAGGCGCTGTTTCTTATAGCAATGTATCTGACATCTGTAAAACCTGTAGTCCAGTCGTTTAGCACATACATCTTTAACAGAAAACGTTTTTTTGCTATAGTGTCCACATAAATTTACAACCGAGACTGAAATACAGATTTGTAGCTTAGGTGAATACTCTTGATAGCATAATGTTGATCGACCTGTATGGTTTAAATGAGAGAAAGGTCAACAGAACAAGTTGGATCCCTCGCACATAAGTTATCAAGGGTAAATTACTGAAATAAACATAAATAATGATTCAAAGAGTAGAAATGAAAGGAAAAAAAAGCAAAATGTTAGATAGTTTTGTGATGGACAGAGTTAATCGTATACAACGTTCAGTAGAGTAAGAGATTCTAGAACGTGAGAAAAAAGGGCAGTTGGGAAACATAGCATAAAGTGTGATTTATATAGTTGAAACGAATCATAATCATAGAGTGACTGCTGGAAAAGAGAATAAATGAATCTCTAAACCCTTAGCATGCCATCTATTGCTTAATCTTATATTAGCCCAATTACCTACAATACGAAAAGTTCTATTAGGTTTATGATTGGTATTTTCAACTCATCGTGGTGACCCACATAACATCATGGTGTTTACTGACCTGCAACGGGAAAGATGTTCCCTGCATTTCCTTACTGCACAACCCTCGTTTATCATGAGCCTTTGTATTTCAGAGAAATATTCTTCATTTATTCTTCTTGGAATATCTTTTTATGCCTCACTGGACTGCAAGCTTTATGATGATAACTTTGTAGGCCCGTCACGACTATTGAATTTCAAGTTAGTTTTCACTAAGAATCAGCACCAGATGGAGAGTCAATATTGTTGATATATATTTTTCTATGCTTGTTTATATTTTACCCACTTTCTAATATGTGAATACCTTCATAATAATACTGGAAATTATGCTGATTCGAAAAAGTTACTGAATACAATGACTTAGTAAATTGAAGCTTGTAACTTAGAGGTCTATTAGCCATACATTTTTATTTGACTTGGATTTCAAGAATGAGAGTGCTGTCCAGAAAACATCGCACTAAGAGGATAAGAAAGAGATTTGACAATAAAGTCTATTTCATGCCTATATTTCTATTTAGGTAACTTGAAAGGGAAAACTCAATTAAACTATAGTTTCTTCAGAAAAAGATTTAGGTAGAGGAACAAATATGTGTTTCCCATTTCATCCGGTAAAGCTTACGACTATAAAAGGTGGTAGCAACTAAGTAACGTTTACCTTTTTTTATGAACGTTTAAAGAAAAAGGTACATTGACAGATATTAACGTCAATAATTTAGGGCTTTCACGGTTTGATTCGATTTATCATCATTCCGCAGTTGTTAAATCCATCAGGAATACTTAGATGCATTCTGGAAACTTTTGGCCGAAAATGTATTTTGTATGAGACATTATACAGACCATAAAGTGACAACAAACCAAAAGTGTACCATTGTTCATGTCTAGAAACCAATGAAAAAGTCTATTTTAAAATATCAAAGATTATTTATATCTTTCCAGTGCTCCAAAAGTAGTTATTCGGTTCTAAGGTAACATTAACACGATGATAACCTGTGAAACCCTCTAAACAAAGGTAAGGGCAAGTAAAAAAAAATATGAATACAAAAACTGCAATTCATTTGTCTTTATGGGTTTAATAAAACAGAATATGAAAAATATGATGAGTTTGAATTATTAAAATCAACACAACAAATATTGTTAGCCAGATTATGCTATAACCATAAGGCTAACATAGAACAATAGCTATGTTCAAAAGTATTACAGTCCGCCTTATAGAACCCATGAAAAAATACCGGCGCAAAACACACTTGTTTCATTTATAAATGGTATCGAAAGTTAAATACTACACAGTTTAATTCGAAGAAGAGGTAAGGACAATCTAAGATTGAGGGTATAAACTATCTATTATCTTTGAAAAGTAACTTCGAGCTTTGATACGTGCTAATTTCATCGTTGGAGTTAGCAACCCATTATCAGCGTTAAATGCCTGATCTGTCAAATAAATGGCCTGAACCTGTCGAAAATAAAAGAATTTGGAAAACATGGATCAAAGAAATATGACTGTTGATTCATACAAAATGGGTAAGCTGTTGAATTGTTTATCATTTACGTAAAATAATTGAGAAATTAAGAATAAATTCAGATGTATCACCTATTATTTTACTCATAACAAAATGATCTAAAATCTACTGTTCAGAAAACCTACTTCGATAAACTTTTTTCGTACGACTACACAAGTAACCAACTACTGTTGTATTTGGAGATATTTAAAAATATAAATAAAAGTTTTTTGGGTCAATTTTCTTTTTTTGTATACACGTATTTTGGAAAATTGACCTACGTACAAATAAAACATAGAATCTCTGAAAGATGTGGAAGTAGTGTTATAAACGTCAGTGATCACACTAGATAGTCAACGAGTTCATCAAATTAAGCGTTGCACTGGAGTCCACTTAAGCGCATAGACTGACAAGAAGTATGAAAAGATCTTGCGTGCCGTAAAGCATAATCAACGCAGAGCCTGGCAAAAGTATGAGTTATCCCATATTTGTCATACCAAATTAGCACAAACAAAATGAAATTAACATTCGCATTCGAATTCTTCATTCTGGTTTATCTACCGGTACGCATGCACGACATTAATCACATCCGATGATTATTTCGTACTAAAAATTTTATTATCGCGTTGTTCAAAGGAATAAGTTTAAGAATTAGTACAAAATCAAATGGTGATATGCAAATCTAGGATAAGTCAAAATTGTAAAAACAATCGACAGGAGTTAGATACGCTTACAAGTAAACAATGAAATTATGAATTTCTGCTTGGTTTAGCAAACAGTAAATCCATATAAGTGAAAAATATTTCATTCGTTTCTCTTAATACAAGTTCACAGCTTCACCAACCAACTTGCTTAAAATTAAATTGTGTAGCAGAATTACTGTTTTACATTTACCGAAATATATGAAATAGAGTAAAATACTTGTTTTACGGCATATCTTTCGTAAAAGTTTGTAGCAAAACGTCATTCATACCTTTTCAAAACTTTTCAGCATATTTTCATCAGCGACAGCATTCATCCGTTCTAGGACAAATTTATTTACAACTTTGTTCTGGGAAAGTTCATGATCCGAAAGTTTTGAGCAATGTAGTACTCCTGAGTTGTTTAAACAAGAACGTAACTCGGTAAAATCGGGAACCACGATAGCAACAGGGTAATTTTGTTTACTATTACCGTCCACAAAAATTTGGCTTACTAATTTACAGCATTTATAAACCATTTCCACTTTTTCCGGTGCAACGTATTCACCTTGAGCCAATTTGAATATGCTTTTTAGACGGTCCACAATTTTCAACGAACCCTCCTAACGTGGAAATTAATAGATATATTAATGATTTCTCGTAGTTGGTTGAAGTATGGCAGAAAATAGAATATGATGGTCTAACAAGGTTGTAACATGATAACATTGTATTTAGATGTTATGATATCCCCCCATTACTTAGTATTTTTGGACATTACTTCACTCGACAAGTCTTCGAATTAGAACACGGTTACATAGAAACATAATTATATTCCAAATAAACAAGGTTGGATAGACGTAGGAATTACAATAGGAAACACGTCAGTGTATTTGCAATTTTTCATAAGGAGATTCTAGAGTCTTCTCCAAGTATCCGCTAGTTCTGATTGGTCAAGGAATGACCAACAAGCGTGTCCCAATACAGTCCTGCACGAAATTTTCTTTAATCTAATCTACGAATTTTAGTTTATATCACTGAAAACTCTTTGGCACTACTCAGTCAATAGTTTCATCCATAGTCACAATCCAAACATATAATATTTTAAAATGAATTGAATTTTATATTTCTAAAAAACTGTTCAAGGGAATAAAGTTCGTTTAGCAAAACGTGAAAATTTAGTTTACAATAATCGTCTTACAAAGGTGTTGTATTTAGATTACTGTGCATCGACATGCACTGTTCGAACAAAACTGATTTGTATCTCTAAACAGAACACTTAAACAAAACATATTAAATTAAATCGTCGAACTTACTAGTGTCCATTCACCGATATCCCCAGTATGTAACCATCCTTCATTGTCAATAAGTTCGGCGGATTTTTCTGGTTCTTTGTAATAGCCTTTTGTGCATCGTTTGCCTTTCACGCAGATCTACAAGTAATTTTGAAAATAACTTGTAGGTTTGTTAAGGAAGCAAGACTGAAAAAAATCCCGAAATATTTGTATTTGATTTCTATCTTGAATTGTTATCAGATGAAAAAATCCTGATATGATATCTCTCATGAGAATGGCTTTTTCTTACTACAAAACGTTGAACCATCAATCGGGTAATGATCTACAGTTTAAAATTGGATGAAGAAGCTGATTATTACTTCTAGGTTGTAATTAATTTTCTAGCCAGTGTCAGCCGGTGATAACCACCAACTATAGAACTGATCAATCTTTCTAAAAAGAAGCTACAAGATCCAAATAATGATAACAATATCTGTTATATCTATTTATAATAGATTAGTTACATTATGAAGTTAAATAAAACATTCAAGTCCGATTATTGGCTAGATTTGTCAAGTACTAATAAACGGATCTATATATTCACAAGGTCACAATCGTGAACGTATTTTTATTCTACATAAATGTAATCTAAGAAAATGTAGCCTTTGATAAGTTCATGAATGTTTTCTCTTGATTTTGACTGCTAGCTATGAATAAAACCTATTCACTGTAATCAGTTATATACTATAGTCAAAGTTTACTGGAACCGAGATGTTAAAGGATGCATATTACATAATTTTAACCATTACTTGTATCTTACTTCTCCTCTTTGATCTCGCAGTGCATCTAAACCCAGATCTTTTACATCAACAAGTTTCACTTCTACACCATGTGCGACAGAACCTACGGTACCTAGACGGTACTCTCCAAGTAAAGTAATAGTTATACTCCCCATTGTTTCTGTTGATCCATACCCCTCAGCAAGCTTTTGTAGGAAAAATATGAAACAAACATTCGAATTGAAAGTTCATCATTAGATTGGAAAAAATAAGAGAAATCATGGAGTAATTTCATTTAATTGATAATAAGCAATGAAATAAGCTAATAAAAAAATTAAAAACTTGTCCTTCAACCATGAGAAATAACATCTCATAAAGTCTCTGATAACTATTGCCGCTGAATTGTTTCTTTAAAAAGAACTTCAATCTTAGTATTTTTATTCTGAAACCAGTTGGTATGTAGTTAGCTTCATTAATAATTTATAAACAAAGCACACTATATTTTAAATCAGCAGCCTCTTCTTCTAGAATGAATAAATCATTAAATAATTTGCTCACAATACAGTTGACAATAAAATGATTTTCAAACCTAATAAGATTTTCGCCACTTGTTTAAATTTATTGATGAAAATAGGAAAGTTTGAATATTGTTGTACACTTAAATCTTAAGTTAAGTTTAGGTAATCCCTTCCTTTTATTGTTTCGATATGATTAATTTGATTTCATGTGTTAAGTTAGGTCTGTAGGTGAATTTGGAAGTATTTTGAACGTTATAGTTTTTTTCTTTCCACATGGAGGTAAATGCATGAAAATGGTCGGTTAAGTGAGTGTCAGCTAAAGTAACAGAAGTTCCTATTTGTACTGAAGACTGATAATCAATGAGTAAATTATTACAAAAATGCAAATTATCGCCAATAAAAATGTTCCAGTAATTGCATACATATATACATAAGAGATTGCATTTTTGGGAAGCATTCCAACAACAGAAAGAACAGAAACTAGCTTACCAAGCCAAATGCAGCATGTACAAACTTTGATATCTCCGTTGGTAATGGAGCGCCTCCGCTGACAACACAATATACACGTCCGCCTAATAACTTCCTAAGTTTCTTAAAGCATAACGTATCCAAGATACTATTATGATAGAATTTTCCACTAAAATGAACAGAAATAATAAATTACTCGTTAAAGGTTTAATATAGTGAAATCTTTATTTTGAATTTGTTATTAAAAAAGCATCTATATAAACTAGATAAAAAAGTTCAGCTGCTTCTACGTTTCAATTACTACATTTTTGTCAAACGAAGCTAGTATCTACGCAGGTAATTCGCTGACCTAAAACAGTGGCAATAGTCTTTAATACAATTAGCAGAGCTATGTCTTATTCAAAAGACCTAAATATTCATTCATTTTTGGCCACTTTAATAATTGTATTTATCTGATAAGTCCAAAAAAGGCTTCTTAGTTAAACTTATATTGAATGTTTCATCTAGTTTAACATGCGATTCTCAACGATTTCAATAAAACAGAAAACTTTATATACTAAATGACGGGATGCAAACCTTTAGACATAAACTAATGTTTAGATTTGAGTGATTTATGGCAGACTTATCGTAAACCAGCCAAACCGATGTGACCTATAAAAACAAAGGGATTTGGAGGACTAAGACTGAAATTTAGTTGTATTGGAGAAAATTCACGGGTTCTTGAGTTTTAATAGTCCTTGAAAATTTTCGTTCTTCCATTACATTTCTTTGCTTCGTAATACAGATCCAATGCATAGTTCCTAAATAAGATTGATACAATTTTGACTCCTTTGTTTGTGTCTTAGTTAATCAGAAATCAGTTAATTTATGTCCAGTTTTTTTATACACTAAACAGAAAAATCTCATACTACTTATCGCTTTTGCTTCGAGTGTTTCCAAATGTAGTTAATCGTTGTATTTCGAACCGATACCATATAAGAACTATTTCGTTTGGCTCTATGCTTTAACGTCTCAAATCACTCAGTGTGCCTTGATACACATTGGACTGTGAAAAATGCTACGGATTCTTTTTTAACGCTATGAAATGTTAGTCAGTGAAGTTTTAAAGTAAAACCGTATACCGTTTTTGTTCAACCATTTTAATCTTCACAATCCGATTGTAAAGTTGTCTTTTGATTTTGGAATCATCCAATGATTTCTGATATTTAGTGTAAATACTAGAAAGTATTCGTGGAACTGCTGTTATCACACCTGGTTTCAAAGCTTGTGCGTCTACCACCAAATTATCAATAGAATCAGTTAGAAATCCCAGACGGGCTCCCATCATAATATAATAGGACTACAAGAAAGTGAGACAATCGTTCGAGAAGAAAAATATGTCGATAAAATTGCTCAATGAAACGATAAAAAAGTAAAGATTGTAAACAAAGTAAACCAGTGATTTGCCCCAACATATGTTTTGTTCCAAAACTTTAAATAATTGTTTTAAAATCTACAGAAAATTACTAAAACATACTTAAAGAAGCATTAGTTCTTGTCGTAAGAGAGTTGCTTTCAAGCTGTATGAGATTATTGTAGTCGGGATTACTCCACTTAAAAAAGGCGTCATTGATTATTAGAAAATTAATATTGACTCACAATATTCGAATTTAAAGAAAACTGTTTAGGCCCAACAAACAAGAATAGTCTTAAATTATCAAGCACATGCTATATCAAAGATTCACTTAGCATAGTGGCCATAAAATCCTTTCTGTTATATGAAAACTTATCTTTTAATTCGACAAACAGTATCTGTAGTTTTGTTTACTTTATAGTTTACATCACAGGAAGGTATCACCTGAATAATCAATGACAACTAAGAATCACTGGATGGACGAGTTCAAAATTACTTAGAAATGTGAACCTATGACCTCATAAGAGGGTTAACTAATCGCCACCATTTCTTGCTTTGGAAATCAGCATGCATGACGTTTCTCTTCACAAAAAAACTCTAGCGGTTTACCTGTGAAAAAGTTTCTCAAATTTAGCCTAACATACGAAAATTCCTATTAATAGTAGATTGTTTAGCTTTACTGATGGTTGTGAAGATACAGTTCTGAACAAAATTATCAAGATAATCAATTTCCATCAGTTCATTTGTTGATTTTTTTTATACAGTTCGTAGGAAGAAGAAATTTATAATTACGACATACAATTGATGTACTTGACCGTTAATATACAAAAACGCATAATAATAATGTCTGCAATTAACGAAGCGTAAATAAGATAGCTTACCGAGAGTATTTGTTCCATCATATGCGCCAATGGGAGATATGAAAGATGACTTGAATTGGATTTGATGAGCTAGGAGAAACAACAAAACGAACAGTCATCCATTAAATAAATATCAAACCATATAAGTTAACTCGTACCTAAATAGTACGAAAATTTTAGACAAAAATAAAAACGCTCGTCACGTTTCTTTTTAAGGTTGTAAAGGCTTCAAAAAATACGAAGGTAGTCTCTTACATAAAAGTTTAATGGTCCCAGCTGTCAGTGATATAAATCTAATGTAAAAAATAGGAGTACAAGATAACGATTTAGATTGAGACAATAGAAATATGTTGCTGTATGGTTAAAATAAATTACGTTCACCGTTAAGATATATTTTTTACCTATATAAGGATTGGAAAATTTATGTGATACATGTTCGCTCTTGAACTCCAATGAAGCATAAATGGTAAAGGTTTACCTTGTTTTCTGAAGCTTCTAGTATGGAAAATACAGCATCCACAATCTGTTCATGGTTAACCATAACTCCTTTAGGTAATCCTACACACGACAATAAGTTGACATAATGTTAGTTTGCAAATTACAAAAAATAAGTGATAAAATTACTTCTATCAAATAACTAGAATAAAAAGATTATTTTACCAAACCTAATAAATATATATCTACTACAAATAATGCTTTCATCAACTTTTAAAACCACCAGCCGAAGAAATAAAAGGAAACTTGACTCTTAACATATTAGCTTCACATGTTCCTTAGAACATGGTTTGTACGAGCTGATTTATTCTTACTCAACATGTCAGCGGTCATTAACATTTACAGATGACAAAGTTGTTACAATTCGAACCCGTGTAATAGATGTCTGTGCGTTTCTGGAATAAGTGATTGTGTTTTTATTTTTCATACGTAATCTGGCTTTCAATTTGGAACACATTTTGCGCTTAAACTTTTATTTGATCTGAGCTGAAGTACGCTGGCTGAAGAGTTACAGGAAAAGGAAGGAATAATGATTCTTCATATTATGTGGCAATAATGTAGGATATTAGCAGAACAGAAATTTATCTGTAACGAGTTTCCTAATTCGTTATCACTGTAGACTAAATTATAACTCATATGTCAGTATACAAACGAAGATCTGTGGTTAGCGAAATTATCATATAAGTATTTCCTTAGTAATCAACGGAAGAACAAAGAAAAAAGGTTATGTTCTAGTTGGAAAAATTAATAAATTAGTATTTGAAATACACCCAAACAGCATGAATGCTGAAGTGAAACTAACGCTTACCGGTGCTTCCACTAGTATAGCAAACCATGTAGAGGTCAGATGGCAATGGATCCTTTAAAATAAAGAATTACTTATGAAACCCTTTCAATACGAAAACTTAGTTTGTGCAAAAACAGCCTAATCAGTGACTGGCAAGAGACAAAATATTGAAAGGGATATTATAATCACATAAATTATGTATTTACGCTGTTTATATTAAGACTGAATAATCCGGAATAACACAAACAGATATACCCAGTGTATTAGTCAGTTAAACCAATGAGTTGCTGAGCAGGTTGGAATCAGTTTGTTGTAGGTGTTTAAAATCCGTCAATCAGTTTCACAAATATATTCATAATCATATGGAACTGAAACCTTTATCAGATAATACGATAGATGATAAGACTAAATGATATGAGGTAACTTTTAGTATTCATAACTTTCATGTAAACGATATTTGAAAGCAAATGCTTTGACAAAATAACATTTTCTATGAATCTCTCTCAGAATATTTGAAATCGATTGAAAAGCACTAGAACCAATCAGTTATACTAATAAAGTAAAAATGAGCGATTACAACAAGCAGACTTAAACGATAAAATGTGTTAGTTTCAAAAGATTTATAGATATGACATAATTCTCAATAAAACGTTTTGAGTAAAACTGTTTATTGTTGAATTGGTATTGGTATGAGCAGTGAAGATACAGATCGATAAAATCAACTATTTGAAAGATTTATAGACAAAAGACATTTATTAATCCTTCGTCGCTTTTCTCACAGCCCATTATATAACTTCAGGCTCATGCATGCCTTCATAAAAATTAATTTCATTTACCCAATCAACCTTAATAACAGGATTTTATATTGCTATAGGTTTTCAAATAATTTTAATCTGAGTTTTTACGTATTTTTCGGTGAAATCATGATCACGATGAGAAACAAAAAATATACAAAGTTGAGTTAGTGTTTTACTTTTTCATTAAAACAAAGTATCAAGATATGTAGGTCTATTTGCATTCTAAGTGAGAAATGAATAAGACAAAAGAAATTAGGCTAATTTTTCAGCCCCCACTTAGAAATAAATTTCTTAATCAAAACGAAGTTATACAAATTTGTTAAATAAAACTAGTTGACGTGCAAGCAGACAAAAATCAATATTTGGAAATTCATATTCTGAATCCAAATTAAGAAAAGTAGTTTGGATTGGTAAATTATACTGCAATTTATGGTATTTTTTTAACTCAACAAAATCCACAGAATACTGTACAAGTACTAAACGCAGCGAATGCATCCAATTTTCGACTACAGTTTATGATAGGTGGGATAGTGGCACACACTTGAAATGAATGAGTTAAGAAAATATGAAAACTCACTTTCTTTGGTAAAAGTTTATTCATTCCCAGTTCCTGAAACATTATATGACGATAGAGTGTTGATAAAATGATCCTAGTTTCGGCAAGATCTATATTTTTCAACTACAATGTTGGTTGTTTATACTAAAGACAACCTTTGGATAATGAACGCATATAGTCATGAACATAACTTCTGAAGCAAAATAATGCAAAAATCTAGGTGATTATTCTGTAATTTGATTGTTAATTAAGAGGTATGATTAGTTTTAACAAAAATCGTACATTTTGCATGGTCAACATGAAGACCAATAAAATTTGAAGTGGTATGAATGAAATTGATATCACGTGGAGTAAAAGTTATAAAAATTGAAAAATTCTTGAACAAATTCAATTTGTTTTGAGGCGTGAATATCATCTCAAGTGACAGCTAGGAATTTATTTTCATTTTATAAGTGGTTGTTCAATGGAAGTTTTAGTAGTTTATCTTGACATTAACCCCTTATGAGAGGTGTTTCAAGCGACCATTAAAGTTTTGAACAACCGAATGATTTTGATATAAGCAAATGAAGCACTTGAAGACTACTGAGCAATTTTCGAGTCTTCACTAATGAACTCCTCGATATTATAGTGGTCAAGATAATAAACCATGAAGAAAAATCAGAAATCACACTGTTATTAAGTTTATAGGTGAGAACCAAGTTATCGGCATAGATTACTTACATCAAACTGGATAATTTATCTCATCGCCATATGTGTTAACTTGAATAAGTGAGAGCAAAAAGAACTAACTGTATGAGCATATTTTCATAAAACTAGATTTCTTTGTTAGAAACGTAGTTATCGTTAAGGTGTTTCTTTTTCCGATTTCTTTATTGATTAATACGGTCAAAAACGGTATTATATATATAAAGGGTGCATCTTGCGCACCGATTCGATCATTTTTGCATTAAAATAAAACGTAAATGTAAGGTCAGAAAACAAGACAACAGGAATCAGATTTTCAAGATTAGGAAAGGATCCGAAGTAATGGTAACGCTTGATTTAGAAAGTTTACACCTTTCTTCAAACATAATTCTACTTCATAAGTCATTGGATATTAAGTTAGATAGTGAATTGCGTAGCAAAAATTATACATGTGAAAAGGTTTAAAAAACAAGACCAGAAGTAAAACTCATTCTAGTAAGAATTCATAATATCTTTAAATCAAATCTTAACTAGTAATAAGTTCAAACTATTCTATGGATTTTTCTCCTTGTCATGAGTAATTTGTCCAAGTAATGAGGTTATTGAACAGGGATATTTTAACTTTTATGGGTAGAATACGAATTAGATAGATAAAGGTGTAGAAAGTGGGAGAAAAGTTCAACAAAACGTTAATTTTTGACATTTATATGTCTACTCGTTAAAGGAGTATTTTTTAATGTACTTACCAGGAAATCCTCAAACAAGTACACAGAGACTTTTGAGCCGTGACGAGACTTCACTTCTTCAACTTTAACATCATATGAAACAATGATTAAATATTCAAGAGAAGATTCGAACTTGTCCAGTAGATGAAGAGCTTCAGTTCCTGAATTACACAGCATACAATTCACTTGTGCTAAAATCAAATTGTAATAAGACTGATCACTAATTATAGAATTTTTCATGTTCTTTTTTGTCTACAATAGTGACTTTACGGCATATCAAAATAGAAACATATGTGTAGGAAATTTCAGTTAACATTAATTTAAATAAGCATGAAGATTTCAAAATTACGTATCACGTCCTTAAAAACAATATTTATTTGATGTTTTATTTCGTACTTAATGTATACCAAGTATTTTATTTCCAGAAGTTACTAGGATCAGTGTTTAGAATTAGTAAGCTAGCAAATAGTGTAAAGTGTAACACGGTACTCAATTAGAAATGTTTCCTCCGAAAATTAATAAAGATTATAATATCGAACTGATGATTATTAGATTATTGTTATATATTAAAAACAGCTGAACATGTAGCCGATGCCTAAGTAACTCTATGTTATTTGATCATCCTTTAATCCTGCTGAATATTACCATAGTCCTTTTAACTTTTATAGTGATCTTGTGACATAGAAAAGCTTATGTAAAACTTAATCTCATACAGATACATAATATTTACACAGATTGAAATCATGAGTCAGTTGAAGCTAGACCACCATGGAAAACCTGGAAGCACTGGACAGCCGTTTCGTCCTAGTATGGGACTCCTCATCAGTGCGCATCCAAGACCCCGCACCCCTTCTGGTAATAATCATCTGCTCACTAGTGACTGACTTCAAGAGATACTCCGGGAGTTCTAGTGGGAAGCCGTTACCAGTGGAGTTCAACCAGGTCTGTTGTGAGATATCAGCTCACTGAAGACAATGGTTTACGGTGGCGCAACTTCGTGGATTGGTTGGAGTTAGAAATTAACACCGTTGGATGCCGACAGATCAGTGGTCTAATGGTTAAGTGGTCGCGCGCGAAGCCAGTAGGTCCTGGTTTCGAATCCCGTGGGGTGCGGGATCGTGGATGCGCACTGCTGAGGAGTCCCATACTAGGACGAAACAGCTGTCCAGTGCTTCGAGGTTTTCCATGGTGTTCTAGCTTCAACTGACTCATGATCTCAATCTGTGAAAATTTCTAAAATCTCCACAAACCCCTTCTGATAACATAATATTTAGTATAGAAAAAATATTGTCAAATAAAAAGTGAGAATTAACTCAGTGAAATGAAAAAACTCACTTTGAGATAAAATATGTTGCATTGCTTCATTACCAAATGTAGGATAGATGGGCACAATAGTATAACCATATGCAGCGCATGCATGTTGCATAATAACCCACTGGATAATAGAAGGAATAATCATCATAACAAAATATGTAATTAGTAAACAATCTATTTGAATCTTTATGGAACCAAATAACAGATTCGGGTTTTTGTTGTGCACAAAAATATCACTTCCAGAACACTTTATGCTCGTTGAGTATCGTTACGTTCAGTCTAGAACATTCGAAGTTTAGACAAACTATTAAAAAACCTCATACACTTGATTTAAATTAAATACACTTCTATAAAATACACACAAAAGCCTTGACTATGTTTTTCCTTTATCAAGTTCAAACATAAAGAAATACAACAATATAATAGCGTTCAAACAGGGAAATCACATGCTTGATGTATTGCATGTTTTGATTTTAAAAATTCCTGCTAGGTTTAATGCTGTACTGACATAGAAACTGAATGTATAACATAAAACATCCCAAAATAGCCCAATCAATTCAACTGCCAAACCTTTAAAAGTCGTATGATAAGTTACCTTTAAGACAAAGTGATGAAGAACCAGTTCGGATAACTGCAAAAGCATTGCTAATCACTTGAATGTTCTCTGCCATACCACTCAAAGACTTCACTTTACTTTGTTTCAATAATTAATGAATTAACTGTTAATGAAAGCACTTTGTTCACTAGACTTCCCTAGTTTTTCTCAGATCATCCGTCCTATAAGGTTATAAACACTAGTGTTCTGCCTAATTCCAGAGAATAATTGAGTAATTTTGTTAGAAAGCAACATTTATAATGGTGATAGATTCTGGAAATGGTTACCGACTATATGCTGATTTAATAGCATTCCCATATTAATCTACAAGAAAAACACCATAAGCACACGAATAAGATCACTTCTATTTTATATTATCATTAGAAGTGAGAACTAGCTTGGCATCAAAACTTATAAAGTGACCAATTTTTTTCCTCTTTATTATCAACTGACACTTATTCATTAAAAATAGAATTTTTATTGATCATAAAAGACTAGTAGGCATATTGGGCACTACAACTTAAATGATTATTAGGAAATGTTTAGGAATCATGACCATAACTCCAATGGTTAAAGTATTATTTATTTGGAACTGTGTTTGAGTGGAAAAAAGAGGACAAGATTTGGGATATCGATGTCGAGGAACAAATTTGATATCAGTTACATGCACTTTGTGCACCAAAATCTTCTATCAATTGATATAGGAATCGACAGATGAGGAAAAACCACAGGATGACGTATGCACAGAATAAATGCACTATATATATCCGACTAATCAGCTTAAAAGAACGAGACTCATGATTTATTGTACAGCATCAACATTTCGAAATTCACAAATTATCAGGTACATCTCAAATTCACTAATGACCTATCATAATTCAGTAATAAATTCCTATCAGTATCCGGGATAAAAGCTTTAACAACCAGCCAGTCGCTAGTTTAAAATCAAACAGCAATTATAATCACCTCCGGTGAGTTCGGTCCATAGATTCCCACAAAGTTTTCAGCATTACGTCTTTGTCTCACAGTTTTCACAAGAGCTGTCCCAATAGCTTTTATTTTTTTATCTACCTGAAAAACATAAGCATAATCCAAATTCACTTACCTCATTGTAAATGAGCCATGAGTATTTATTTTTGGAAGGGAGTCGTATTCTTAGACATGGATAAAACCCTGTAAGTGAGCATTTCGAAATCATATTAAAAAGGGATATCATAGAAATTCAAGCCTACGGAATTTTTCAATGAAATAACAATAATATAGCGTATGAAAATATTTTTGGAAGGCTATAAATAAAGTTTATGAAAATACATAGACTGATAAATGCTAAGCAATGAAAATGAATTTAAGAAATTCAATATTTTACTTGTCGTCATTTACTGTTAGGTTTGACTGTGTTGAGGAAATTTTGGCAGAAAATGTGGGTCTTAGTTAAACCTATTAAGCTTGTGCTTCCTCATCTGAGGTGAAGGAATTTGGTGTGATTTTATTTTCAAGTAGAACTTGGATTTCAGATACAGATATTGACTAACTTAGTGGAAATTTCAAATCCGAAGAAATTAGACACGAAATAGCAAAAAAGGTAATAGTCAGGGAACAGATACGATGTCCAAGATTTGCGGGAGAATAACAATAAAATGGAGCAACGTCACCCTTATCTTCTTTCAAGCTACTTGTCCAGGGTCTTACGACGCTCAACTAGAAAGCCTATATTCTACAAGAAGTGAAAGACTGCAATCAGTTACCCCTAACGATTATTGCTATTTTAAAAAATATTCGAAGTAAGAATAAAGAAAATTCCTCATGTACAATATTGAGGACAACTAGTTTATATATATATATATATATATATATATATATATATATATATATATATATCTTTCGTTCCAAGATTCTCTGAATGATTTCTAGAAAGCTGATTAGAGATTCATAACTAAACAGTCTTGCTACTGTGTATCAATAACAAAACAGTGATAAGGTTTTAGTACGTTATGATTGCAATAAATATATTTTCCTAGTTAAAACTCTTTAGGAACAAACGATAATCAACATGTAGTTGAATAAGTGGATTTACTTGAAGTATTTAAGCCATATTCAAAAACATCTTTCATTGTTTTCACTGGAATTTTGTCCACGAACTTCGAAACAAATGGGGATTTTCGTGCACCAGTCTAAATAGTATGAAAAATTTGGGTGGATTGTTTATTGTTTGAAAGATTTCTAACTGAAAAAAAAAGGTTTTTGTAATCAGTAGACAAAAGATAGCAATAAAAATTATGTTCTTTATTCGCTGATTGATGTAGCAAATAGATATTTTAAGGGCTTTAAAACGAATAGGGAATTCGGGATTTTTTCGAACAACGTAGTCTATAACGTATATAATATTCAATAAAGCCATTAATAATAATGATAATAATAATAGTCATGAATTGGTCCAAATTAGAAGCTTTAGTTTATGTAGTACGAAAACTACACATGTTTAAAACACTTGATAAGTAAGATACGTGTTTTACAGGAGAAAAAAATTAAAAATCGAAATTAACTTATGATTTATGTCGGTTACAAGGTTTCGGTAAATGCAGTAGGCAAATTGAGGATGAACCGGCAAATTATGACTCCAAATAGGGTCATTAAACTTATTCCTTACATTTCAATTTTATTACGAAATCACCGAACTCGCATTCTTCGTTTAGTTTGCCAAAATAATCGTGTACCTGCTTTGAAAATCATTTATTTTACCAGAATGTAGTATTTTTACTAAATGGTGATTCCTTTGTAATTGATTGCGCGCTTAATACGAATTCCAAGTCTAATATTTCTGGCTGTGCTCATCTTGTTCCACCTACCTTAAATTGCTGTATTCAGACCATTCTTAGATGGTACATTAATTCAAATACTTTTAATTAACATACAACAACATGTTTTTAGGTCTCTAAGTTCTCCAAATAAGACTTTATTTGTTCAACCAAGAATTAAGAAACTTCCTTTCACAAAACAAGTAAAAGATGTGCAAATAGGTGAACCTATACGACAAACAACTATAAAAAGTCAACAATGTAGAAATATGTGCACGTGTTTGTCAGTTTGCACAGCACATCACCAGCAAAAAGGATCATGAATGAAGAAAAACATTGATGCAAGAGAAACTAAGTTTGGATGGGAAATAAACAGCTATCTAATGATAGGACGTTTAGAACTTTAATTAGGAAAATAGATTAACTGAAAATAAAGTTCATAAAAATTTCAAATAAGTTCGCCGAGGTCTAAACATTCAGGCAACTTTGTCCATATAATTTATCTAAGAATAAAGGCATCTGTCTTGAGATGATGAGTAAGATTTGCTGTTCAGATAGACAATTTTTGTGGAGTTTCGCCCTCTTAGCTGGATAGCTTAATCTTGAAGCTTAAATTATTTTGTGAACAATACCATAGGCACGAACTTCACCAAATCAACTGCCTACAAACTTTATTCAGAACGCAGGAATATACCGCAGGATATTACAGTGAGGAAATATGAGGGAAAGAACAGCTATTTACTCAGCTTCGCCAAAAAATATAAATCCAACTAACCAGCAGAAATGAAACCAAAAATGAAAATAAAAAAATGAATGATTCTACCAAATTTAGAAGACAAATAACGGGATTATTCAAGCCATTTGGAACAGATCTAACGCATAAATCGGCAAAATCTCCTTGGTCAATCTTATTCAAACCAAGGGATAAAATGACGAAAGAAAACCGAACATCATCCACAATAAACTGTTGCAAACTCTACATTCGACAAAGTGGACGCCATCTTCATTTTTACATGCATGAACATCATTTAGTGGTCAAAAGCCAGGAAAGATCTTGGCTTATATCAAAGCATATGGAGAATTGTAAACGCACATTCGACTGGAGAAATGTTGGAAACTTTGGTGGAAAGAATACTACAAACACTCGGGAATTGTTAAAAGCTTGTCACTCAAGTCAATCAGCAGTCAACAAATAGATCGAAATCAATTCAATCTATCAGAAGATTCATGGATAAATATAATATCAGGAATAAGATCAGAAAGCGATACAGTCCAAATAAAAAAGCAGTTAATGACAGGTTAAAGATCAATAATAAGCAATCAAATCGAGGTCAACAGGACAAGCTCTTAGTCAAATAAGGGGAAAATTCAAAAACACCACTCGGTTATAGATTTTATTTGACATGTGTTGTGATTACCAGTAACAGTTTTCATTTTTTGTTAACTTTGTTCCTTCTTTTGTTCAATCTAACATCAAACTAAAATGTAATAATTTACTGTCGTATGTTTTGGGCAGCATATGTGTCATACCAAAGAATTTTAGGTGACGTTATACTGAATTACGGTTCAAAAGCTTAAACATGTACCTTTTAACCACCAAACATATCGGTCTTTATTAACTATGACACTCTTATATGTTTAAACTGCTTAGTAATAAAACAGAGTTTTAAGGGAATATTCGATTTATTTTTGAGTTAGTTGGTCCTTCACATGAATGGGAGGCAAAACTACGACATGGACTCAGATAACCTAAACCGTAAAGGCAGGTGAACACCGGGTGGTTGAATTAACTGTCTGTCATTAGAGACTTCATGACGGGAGTCGAGAATATTCTTTGTAGCATAGATCCAGTAATTCATTATATTTCTGTTAGTCCTAGAGTTGATACGATTTTAGATACTTCACTTTGCTTGTTTCGACCGTGTTGCTGATTATTTTCAGTTTCCAACTGTTGAATTTTATTCTTTAACATAATGATAATTGTAGCGCTTCAGGCTCAAAAACGTGTGTCGTATTGCATGCCACTTAATTTTACCAATAAGAAAGCATTTGACATATATTATCTTTTCACAATATGCCTTATATCTTTTAGGACACCCTAGTATGAATAGTGAGAGAAATGAGTAGTTGTGTGACCATCAACTTACCTTTGGATCACATATTACTGACTGCTGATTTAGATGTACACTGACGAGATTTTCTGGTGCATTTGACTTAAAAAGTTTCAAATAGGCTTTTGGGAAGCTTGATCTATTTTCTTTAAAAATAGAAACGATAAGAAGATACAACAAAGAAGTGAATTCGCAGTTTAAAAGCTTAGTTCAATCAACAACGATAATATTTGACCAGATAGTGATTTATCAAAAGACAATTATTCATTTTAGGTAGCGTACGTCTAAGTAACATCGAAAACTATCAAAATTTAAAGCATTTATGAAACAGTATGGTTCTAAAGGTGGAACTTACGCTTCTAGGACGATTTTAAAATTAGTTTTGAAGAGACCATAAATAAAACACGCTTGAAACATGTTTTTACAAGATCACAGTAATGAAAAGTAATCTAAGAGATTCATTTATGCCTTCCTACGCGAGTCTTCTTAGCTTACTATAGTTTAAAAAACACCTTCACACTACATTTTAACAAAACAGTTGACAACATTTAAAATAGGTGTTCTTTAAAGGTTAAGAAATCGAAAAACCACTAGAGGTTCAAATTTTATTTTAAAAAAGTGTACAGTGCCACAGTGACGTTCGTTCCCTTCAAAACTTAACATAAGCTAAGCATCTTAAAGTATTGATTCCAAAATATTAAGAGATAGATAAAAAAGGAACTTATTTTGGAAAGCAAAACACTGATGGCAAGATCATCTACAGAAAATTACTAATATCAAACTAAAAAATCAGTTACATGGAAAGTATTTTGAAACAGCTTAAGATACAAAATCTGTGGCATATCTAACTAACAGCCCACATTATTATAACACTTATTCGCATTACGAATAGTCGGAATTTGATGCGAAAAACAAGTGAAATAAGTAACTCATTTAGTACAGAAGTATATGATAAGCTTCGAACAACAAATTACACAAAGACTGATGAGAATACTGTAGCACCAACATCAAAATGAATGTCCTACATTAAACTCAGCATTTGTGAATAATCAAAATGAAGAGGAAAAACCATATTCTATGACTTTGTATAGAATATTGGAGCATGGAGAAACAGACACGGTAACAACAGTAATATCTTATTACAAGCGAAGTGAAGTTCTGTAATATGCACTAATCAAACCGATATTAGTTTAAACTGCTGCACAATAAATTGAATGTGCTCACATTAAGTGAAATATCATAGTGATTTAGCAATCTAAAGCAGCAACACCCACAAAATTATAAAGATAACCTTGTCGCTCAGTGTTCTTCACAATAACCCAAAATCCATACTAAATGAAACTCGAAGATCGAGGCAAGCTATTAATAACTTACATCTGAGAGTTTTAGAATACAATAAGGATAAAATAGGGTTAAAAGTTGATATGAACCCTCTGGATGAGTGGACGATTTGGTGGTCGTTGAGGACAAGTAATAGCACAAGTACTGTAATGCACATCGTTTGCATAATTATATCGGAAATCAAATCCATTTACATAACATTGGTAACTGTATGGATTTACGAGTCACAGTAAACGGTGGTCTCAAATTTAAGGGTGATAACAAAGCAGCAGGTGCTTAAGACTTGCGGATTTTTTGGAGACCTTTGAAAGCTATTTTGAAGACTAGACAGGAATACCTGTTATATCTTGTCGCCCACCACGTTCAGAATACGAAAGTAAAGCGAGGAATTCTAGTATGAAATGTGAAACGTACGTGTTGGAATGAGCTCAGAGGGTTGTAAATACAAGGATAACTTAAAATACCTCAGCTTTTCTCACCGATCCTGTTGCTAAGACATCATATGTATGGAAACCATTTAGAAGTGGTGTACACCAAAGTAACATCTTAGGTTCAAAATTTCTTCTGAGTCAATGGATTACCAAAACTGCTTAAGCTACCGACATTGTTGTCCATAGATGGTGTCAAAGTTTGGAGAACACGTAATGAGACTGATAATCGTAATCTCCTAACAAATTTATACGGATTAGTTAAATGATTCCGAATTTTAGGTTTCGAGACGAACGATGGAAATAGTTCACTAATCCACACTGGACACGGCAATGGTTACCAGCATAAGGGTCAACGGTGAGTAGCTTCCACATGTGCAGAAACAAGAAGATCTGGGAGTAGTAGTTAGTTATGACTTGGAAACAACTGCGCACTACTATTCAACAGCTTTCAGACTTTTGAGAGTAATCGTTGTTTTGCTGAACATTCAACCATTTTGACTAATATATGCTTCAGGTATTGTGCTACACCCACGGGAGACCCTACATTGAATTTCGCATCCAAGCATAAAGTTCACGTTATATTGCGGATGCGAACATACCCGAGTGTTCAGTGTGCAGAAACAAGTTTTTTCCTTCTACTCTCTGCAAAAATAATCATGTTGGAGGCCACCGCAATAAGGTTCTAAAACCAAGCTTCGGTTAGGGTTCCGTTTTTCCCATCCAGTGGTCGGCGACTGGTACCAGTTTCACCAGTGGGCGCTTTTAAGGAGAAATCAGATCTTCAGTGAAAAATAAACTCAAGAGGTTGTCATAGTCGAGCGGGCTATCATTCCTATTAATAACGACCGAAACCAAGATCAAATCCTACACACTATAAATACATTAAGGTTAGTTTTTCATACCAAACTATAAAATACGAACTATTTACTGGAGTACGTAGTATAATCACTCTCCGTTACTACTTCGAAAATGACAGCAAATCTAAGCAATACCATGAGTTGAGAGGATTATTGTGTTCTATTGCATGTTGAATATTACATACGATCTATTTTTGCGACTAACAAATCAAAGGTTGAACAGTGAATGGATTAAGGGATAAAAGATTATGAGGTACTCTTTTTTCGAAATTGGTGAGTGATATTCAAAGATATCATTTGTGTTAATCTTTAAATTTCTTTAAATTTTATTTGTGATGAATCTTTGAATGTAACTCTACTTAGTGTGAGTAGTACAGGTGTACAACGACATGAAATATAACCATATCAGCAGCGATATCATAAACACTACAACGTAATTCTTTGTTCCTCAAAAATATAAAATGCACTTCTCAAAGTACTTAGCTCTGTTATGTACTATTTTGAACAAGATTAATGAACAGTATACATCCAAACAACCTAAGACGAAGGAATAAAAGCAAAAATTAGTGAATAAAGAAAACCTTCCGTCAGAAAATAAAGAATAAAAATCAAGAAGTCCATTAAGATTTTACTGTGTTTTTCATAGGTAAATCGCCCGAAATTCTCCCTGTTTGTCGTTTTAAGTTCGTAATCTCGTCATATGCCCACTTTTCCGCTAAAATATAGATTATTTGTCCCATTTTTACATTGAGAGAAACCTTACTCCAACATTTAATAAAATTCTCACTACGTAAGAAGGTCAAGTAAATCAAATTAAACCCCATTATTTTTAGTTCAGTATGAAACAGTGGTGTCCTTACCTTCGACTGGCACATTCGAGAGAAGATAAGACGCCCAGAGAGTGATACTAGAAATGGAATGACGTAGGCTTCAGGGATCCCGTCCTTACTTCACAAATCTGAGTCTGACATATATTACAACAAATGTTCCATATAGGTCATCAGTCTTCACAAAACTTAGAACCAGTTTTCAAGTCTTAATTACTTATTAACTATGAAATTGACAACCGGATCACTGTTTTTCTATGTAAATCAAAAATCTTTTGTTTGAACCGCTTAAGACTGTCTGAAAAATAATTGACTTACCAGACATTCTCGAAATAATAACGTCTGTGGATTGAAAGTATTATTTGAATAAACAATGACTATCTTTCATCAAAGTACTGTCTTCTCAAGTGAAAACCACGCTTTTTTATAGTGGCAAGTGTTCAACCCGAAATCTAGTTAGCTAGTTTGTCTGGTCGTTGTTTATGGCCTTCAAGCCTATTTCCTCAAGTTCCAATATATAGTAAAAGTCAAATTATCTTATTAGCTTCGAGTAGAATGTAAAGCTTGGAGCATTTATTTAGCCGCAATTAGTAGATAGTACTCTTACATTCTAGTCAATAATATTCGAGAGTACTCCTCAAGTTTTCACTTATATATTTGGATCACGGAAGATCATTCTGAGCGTCTTATATATGTATCGTTCCAAAGCTAATCTTTACCTTACATTTATTTAATCAAATAATCTCAAATCATTATGGTCGTGTCTTTCTTCCTTACCTTTGCTTTACTGCTTCGTTCTAGATTTTGTGCACTATTATTACTTGTAATTAACTGGACACACATTACCCCATTACGTTTGATTTAAGCATATTTCAAATAAAGCCCGTCTCATGCATTCCGACCTATTTACTGCATTACGATGACTGCGTATATCATTCTTATATGGCTGGTAGTAATTCTACAACTGCATAGACATGATGGGGCTTGAAAATTTAATAGATGTACACTTCTCCGAGTAGTAGTCCAAAGATAAACCCTGGTAGACTAATAATCGATCAGCAGACCACTGAAAATATGACTTAATCTATTCACAGAAAACCCTGGGAATCATTTTTCAATATCTTCTAAAAGAAGTGGCTTCAAGTAAGCTGAATGAATAATTTGTCATTTAGAGCATGTCCTCTGTGTGTATATCACTTGGGCTTTCATGACGTTATATACCATCCTGTTTGTACAAATTGTATGTGTCAATCATAGACATCATTTCCACCTTCTAATTTGTAAAGTGTTCACATATCGTTTGCATGTATTCTATAAATTATGACTTCTCACTACCCCTGAAACCATCATTTACTAAACTACTTTTTAAGTTCGATCGCTTTCTTAGATGACACAACATTCAAAGAGTTTTCATGAGTTTATTCACCTTAAATTAAATCTTCATTGTTGAGTTGTATCCATTACTTAAAACCTCACTATCATTTTTTATTAGTTCATTAAGCTGTAGCGGTAAATAAATCCGCAAAATAAATAGCTTGTAGTGACCTACCTGTATCAAGAGAACGCGATGGGTTTGATGGAAACAATCATTATTCTAACCAATTGTACCGGTGATTGTTTAACTATGCTCGTTTGTTTAATTGTGCTAAAGGCAGCCATATTACTACTCCATTAGTCTTCATTACTCTCCTGTGGACTGTGACCTTGTACGCTGTTACTCTCGCCCACTAATTCCGCTTGTATACCTTTTGGCACAATCTCGGTATTCGTTCGATACCACGAGTTCGCCAACGAAATAAATCTAGTTACGCTCCATCTTCGCCTTCTGATTTCTATGGTACGCGCTTCCTTGTAGTGGTGTTCATAGTCAATCGCGACTCGACTCCACGCTACAAGCTTTCTAAATTTTCTACATTGGATGTTGACCACATTAGATTTAAAGGACGCACCTAGCTGAAGGCGTGCGATCATGCATCCGCACCAAATCACGAGTGGGAACGCCGTCCTCAACAACCACTGCAATCGCTAGCCAGATTAGATCAGACAATCCTCGATATATTGATAGCCTATCAAATATATCATCGAACCTCCTCGCTTCTGTCATTTGATTTTACTTATTGGGTACGATTCATATCCGAAGATGTAACTGGTTAAAGCGTTGTTATACTCCGAATACCTGTATCATCTTCAAAGCGAAACAACACCATTCCAATTGTAAGATCCATTTTGAATGTTTTGTCTGTTTGTGAAAATCTGTAGAATTATGATCTACTATGATATTAGTACTGCTCTAATAATAGACCTAATCCTAAATTTGTAGATTCGTCATGATATAACTGCCTAATCTATAAGATCTTACGTGGAAGTCACACCATCGACTACGCCAACTCACTGTATCGTATCAATTACCAATACATGATGAAGAAGAAGGTTAGGTTAGAGGAGGAACAATATATTTAATATGAATAGAGACCACGCCTGCATGGCCGAGCCATGCCACTCGATCAACTCCAGTCCATTCAATTCATTCTTCGCGCCTTCTCCATTGTTAGGTATTTCCCCGAGTTAAATATTGAATATCTATTTCCTGAGTAGTCTCGTGTTCACAGCTTTGTGGATTGTGTGGCTATTGTCCAATGCCACTACACTACTCTCCCACCAGAATCAACGTGATGTTGGTTCGATACCAAATTGGATGGGATCGTCGCGCGCCGGAGGTTACCAAGGATAATAAAGATCCTCCGGGTATTGATAAGCTGAAAGATAAATCAAAAAGAAGGCGGCAGCATCTGGTCGGGAAATACATGTAATAATTTTAAAATATCTGCCTTCATGCTTAAAACGCTTGAAATGAAAATTTGGGTGAAGATTATTTGAACTATAAAAAATGAGATTATAATAATAATAATAATAAAACGATGCGTGTTAATAACTTAACGTATAGGTAGTAAGTATTTTGTGTTTAGAAATATTAAAGTGATGAATATTGTAGAAATGTTAATATTGGTATTAGTTTTGGTTTAAGTTATGAAACCAATTAACAATTATGCTGGTAACCCGTCCATAAGTGATTTCCAATTGCATCTGTATTAGTAGGCTAACTGGGAGAACAAAAGTATACCGTGGAGAAGAATTCCAACTAGTGTTCCAGTTAGTTTGATATGGTTTATTTAGTTACGGGGAGATTTTCTCAACCTCATTTTTATTTGACCGTGATAGAATTTAGTAATACTACTAATACACATGAATGGTTATCAAAATAAAATTTAAATACATGAGTGATAATTATATGAATTTTGGACAGATAGCTAGGAACAAATCGCTAAACATGAGTGTGTTCGTAAGAGACATGCTCTGGACTCAATGTTCTGATCTGCAATAGACTATTTATTTATATTTATACTTGCTGGCTGATTGGGCATACAAGTTAGTTGCAAGTATGCAGTTTATCATAAGGCGGAATAAGATTAAATTGAGATATAGTAGTTATAGGTTATTAAAATCAGTTAGGCCTGTGTCATATTACGAAGTGATGTGGTGCCGCAGGATGTATTCGGCTAAATAAGCTTTTACAAGATGATTAACAGTGAGTGATGCTCATGTGATTATCAGGAAGAACACAAGTTGTAACCAAGGGGAGTACACTCCCAACTCACGTCTATGATAATGGCTTGAACCTTAGTCAGTGTTGGGGTAAATTCGACATTGATGTTTTCAGTTTGAAGGAGATTTGCTCGACTGCTTATACTGATTATTTGCATGCATGATTGTGTCGCTAAACCTCCAATTAGACTGACAAGGTTTTGAGATATTTACTGAATGAGCAACTGATAGAGAAACATACTGTAATCATCCGTAGTGAATGAAGATAAAAGAAAAACAACACTAGTGATAATTATAAGTCAATTTGCTGACCGATTTTGTTAATAGTCTCATTAATTTTATCAATCATATTACGTGATTGTCATGACAATGCTTTATGACGATATCCTGAAACTATTATGTTTAACTACTTATAGTGTTGATTAAGGATTAGTCAGTGGAAAGATAGGTATTGTTGCTTTAGGTGATTCAAAATCATCAGAAATTTATAACGTTAAAGAATCCGAGACGCCTAATTTAATTATAAATTTCAATTCAGAAATATTCGTTTAGTGTTCATTCTAGTAGGCTACTGAGTTTTGATTTTAAACGTTTGTTTAGCCAACAGCTACTTGGGGATTTAGTTATTTCACTAGTGCAGTTGATAGTACCTAAATTTTTAATCTTATTATCTAAACTATGTTCGCATTTTAGGCTGCTAATATGATAAACTAATCCATAAACCCAAATACGATTAGCAACAACGACTATGATGGGTTTATTGATAAATGATAAAGGCGATTCAGATGATTTCTAAATTTAGAAGACATGGAGATATAGTGTAACGTATGTATGGGCCAGGTTAACATGCAGGTTGTTGACGTATATGACGATTTAAAAATAATGAACATGACCAGAAAATAGTTTTAAAGTTTAGACTGCTTGTGAAACTTCAGGCAGGAATATGATGCGTTATAAACATTCCATAAGAAGTTACTGCATTTAGCCTAGGGACACTTACAAATATATGGCAAAAGAAACCGGAAAACATATACATGTTAAGTAAAAAAAATCATCCAGTAAAATAGTTGAACTCGCCTGGATTATTTTTGAAAATTAGATTATTCACTGGAGTAGTGATGATCCATAAGTATCCAGAATAAAACATGCAGTATGGCAATTAATTCCATGATGCTTGATGCTGTTGACGTTTTTGGGACTCGCTCTGATCAGAACAACTGAATGAATCCAGATAATTGTGTGTGCCATTGAATGAGCCATCTAAAATGAACTTATGATTGCAGAAAACTTATAGCTGAAACTCACCGTATGTTTTTGGAGTAGTCATCCTCGTTGTTTGGCAACGGAACTCGGAAATATGAAATTAGGCAGGCAGTGGTAGGAAGAAAAGATATTACAGGATAGTGCATCGTTTAAAACAGGATGAGGTGTTAAGTGAGGAAACACTGAAAATTAGATCCATATAACTATTTATTCCTTGATTGCATTGTTAGTCAATGTATATTTACGCTATTTACAGGTCATATTTGCTAGAGCTTGATGTTTAAACAAGACTATGTCGCTGAAGCATGTAAATGCTATTACAGCTTGTTAACAAATCATCAAAGCTAATTAGTTAATATAGACGACCAGTTTTTATTATCGATTGAGCTAGTTTGTCATGAGGACTAATCAATATAACATTACGATAATGCATGTGAGCATTAATCAGAGGACTATTAG